AAAAAAAAATGACCAAGAATTCATTTGAGGCTGGTCCGACTCTATTTTACAACATGTTATGGCAGTGACCAAAAAATCAAAAAGTATGGAATTTGCATTCCATGATTTTGAAGTATGTATATTTCCACTATACATTTTTAATCTATACTTATGTTTATTAATTAGTTTTTATGTTTCTATACACTCCTTTTCTTTTAGTTGCACGATATGATGGAACAACTCCGTCAAGTTTGGTGAAAAAATTTGAAAAATATGCATTTACAAGAAGACCGTGTTTAGCAACTCACTTGGTTCAAAAACATTTCCCGACACAACAGATTCAAAACATCTACGAATTTTAATAAATTTTTATTTTACGAAAAAACCAAGTTGGTTGAAGTTAGAGACGAGTTCTTTCCAAGATCTATGTTGAACTTCAAAAAATTCAAGGATTTAGATAATAAAAAATGGTTGATCCAACTAAGCTTATTGGTGATATATCTATTTTCTTACCTATCTGATTGTATTTTTTATTTATTTAAAATGCGATATAACAACTGTTTTGTATTATTTGCATGAAAACGTCATCAAACGAATTGTAATGTGCCAAAAAGTCCAAACTACCATGTCGAAAGGAGTTGAGAAAAGATTTGTATAGGTTTTTGTTAAAGAATGAGTAAGTTATATTACTCATTGCAACATATAAATAAATATTTTAATTAATTTATTTGTTTAAATACATTTTTTAATTTTTTATACTCTTCGTATATTTATTTAGGAGCTAACAAGTTACTTGCACGATTTGGGAAAGATATGTGAACAATCTCCTCGAAGCCTACAATGGTTACAAACTCTCATAACTACGAGTTGTGATTATCTAAAAGTATCGAACAAAATCTTTTGCTAACAATATAATATTTATTTTTAAGTAGATCACCATATATCTAATGTAGTTCAATTTTATCTATTGTTCTAACATTTGTTCTTCGCCGATTATTGTAGGTGTTGTAAGGATTGACAATACTTAAAATGTGACAAAATGATAACCGATATGGACATCTCTGTATCGGGTTGCCCGATGGACGCACTGCGCATTCACGATTCAAAATCCTACTAAACCCAGTGGAAGAGTCTACATGCGACATTAGCTAGCAAAGTCCTTTGACTAGACTGGTTATACGATGCAGGTTGATCATTTGGGATAAAACCTGATGATGAACAAGTATTGCTTCCAGGCTGTTGGCAACACCCTATAAGCCTTAATGGATCCAGTTGATCCATCGAGGAAAAATCTCCCATTTGGCGGCAAGTGTATTGTGTTTGATGGCGATTTCAGACAGATACTCCTTATTGCCCCTAAAGGTAGCCGAAGTAACATAGTCAGTGTGACCATCAATTCATCCAAGTTGTGGCGCGATTGTATTGGTTTGAGATTGACTCGAAATATGAGGTTTTGAAGCCTTGATGGGGATGATGAGTACGATGAGTTGAGATGCTTCTCGGAGTGGCTAGCAAGCATTGACGATGCTAGAATAGGTGGATCGAATGATGGTTGTGCCGATATCGACTTTCCTGACGATATTCTTCTGAAATCACAAGTGGATCATATTGCCACTATTGTTGAGAGTACCTACCCGGTGTCAAGGATTTCATGCGATGCTTATTGATGTTGTTGAGTCCGTTAACGAGTACATGAGCTCATTGAACTCTTCCAAAAGAAGAACTTATTTGAGTTCTAACACCCCTGCAAGTCAGATACAAGATATGATTCTCTTTAATATCTTCATACTCCTAATTTCTCAAAGGGATAATAAGTGCTTGGGACTTTTGAATCATAAATTGCACTTCAAGATCAACATCAATTATAATGCTCAGAAACCCATGTGGTTGTGCAACGGTACATGTTTGGTTATTATTAAACCCAATAGGCTCTTATTACTAGGCTCACAATCATACCATCTGATTTGAGAGTACCGCTCAAATTTTAGAGCCGATAGTCATGGTTTTTTATGTTATGACAATCAATAAAAGTCAAGGCCAGTGTTTGTCGCATGTCGAGTTACTACTGAAGAGCCATGTATTGAGTCATGGGCAGTTGTACGTCGCTCTATTCAGTGTCATGAGTCAGATGAGCTTGAAGATAATGATTTGTAGTGATGAGATAGGTTATTATGATAGAAAATTCACAAATGTTGTATATAAAATAGTGTTTAATAATATTTAATTTATTTAAAAAAATTAATTGATTTAATTATGATTTTTTTGTTTGTTCGTATTTTTAGTGACTTTGTTCTCTATTATACGCTTTTGGTGGAAATGTACAATTAAAACTACTTGGTATATCATATTGCGAAATGTCAAATAGTCAACACAAGCTTGTAAATTACCTACAAGAGAATTTTGTCTCGTATAAGATCACCAATACCGTCCCCAATTCAAACCCTAATCGGTTTGGGTTTCACTTGTTGCAGAGATTCGATCACACAAATTGATTCCTTTTCTCTGCACGAGCTCGAGGATGAGTGTGTCGTTTTCCCTCAACACGAAACCCCAATCGAATCGCCTCAAGAAAGCCACCGACCTCGCCCGTACAGACTCCCCCACCAGAAACTACGTCAGTGAATTTCGCTCCGGCGATGCTCCGCCGTCGCCGGACTCCAAGATCAAGCCGATCCCCCCGCTACCCGACCAGCTGCGCCCCTACAAGAAACTGAAAAACCTCCCCAACCTCCCCGCACTATCCCAACCCAACGGCGACGACCGGGGCCTCCAGTTCGAGCTGGATCCGAGTTCCTATCCCGAGGCCTCCGATAGCTCCATGGGCTATGGCCTCAACGTCCGCCAGCAATCCCTCGCCACCCGCGGGCACGACGAGTCTGTCAACGATTTTGAGCTGAGGAAACTGAGGGAGGACCTGGAGAAGCTCCCAGAGGCCACCGGGATGGACGAGTTCTCAGATGTGCCCGTGGAGGGTTTTGGGGCAGCTCTCCTTTCGGGCTATGGCTGGAAGGAGGGCCAAGGCATTGGCCGCAATGCCAAGGAGGATGTGAAGATTCCGGAGGTCACAAGGAAGGCCGGCCGGGGTGGATTAGGGTTTACGGATGAATTGCCCACTGCCCGTGCCGAAAGTAACACTAATGCTGGGAAAAATAATAAGGCCAACACAAATGGCGAACGGAAGAAAGAAAGAGAAACTCTCGGCCTAGGAAAGAAGGTGAGGATCGTGAACGGTAGGGATATGGGTACCAAGGGTAAAATAGTCGAGGTGAAGAATGGCGGGGATTTATTGGTCCTGAGGATTTCGGGGAGCGATGACAAGGTGAGGGTCCGGTGTCGGGACGTGGCTGAGGTGGGGTCCGCGGAGGAGGAAAGGTGCGTTAGGAAGTTGAAGGAGTTGAAACTTAGAGAGAGAGAGGTCGAGAGAGAGAAAAAGCCAATGAAGAAGAGAGGGGAGGAAGAGGAAAAGGGAAGAGGCAGCAGGAGAGTGAATTGGCTGAGGAATCAAATTAGGGTTAGAATCATAAGTCGGGAGCTGAAGGGTGGGGGACTGTTTTCGCAAAAGGGTGTAGTTATGGATGTTGTGGGCCCCGGAACATGCGATGTGCTGATTGACAAGAGCAGAGAATTGGTCCAGGAGGTGGACCAGGAGTTTTTGGAGACTGCACTCCCGACACGTGGAGGGCCTGTGATTGTGTTGTTCGGAAGGCATAAAGGGGTGTACGGGAGCCTGGTGGAGAAGGATCTTGAGAAGGAGACTGGTGTGGTTCGAGATGCGGACACACACGACTTGCTCAATGTAACGCTTGATCAGATTGCAGAGTATGTTGGTGATCCGACTGATATTGGTTACTGAGCGGCATTCCTGTTGTTTTGGTTTTTTTCATGCAGGGAGAGGGCTTAATATGCATTGTTGGGAGTGTCGATTGGGTTATAGGTTTCGGGTGGAATAATGAAACTTTGAGGTTTGATTCATATCGTGTTGCTATGGATCGTTTTGTATGAGTAACAGTTGGAGCTGATTTGTGTGAGGAACATTTATTTCATTGGTGAATTACTGTTGTGTGGAGGTTTATGTAAGGGATGTCTCAGTTGAAGATGAATTACGGAGATTTTGTATGTGAGAAACGCCAAATTCTTGATCCCCCGAGATTATGTTGTACCGTGTTGATGCTGGAAATTGTGTTGTACTGTGTTCCTGTTGATGATTCGTTCAGTCATATTTCGTATTATGGTTTTATTATAACGGGTTGGTTGTTTTATCTTGTTATTTTGATTTGTTCGGTCGGTTTTTCGGTGAAAAATGCCAGCCCCAGAATCACTATACAACACTCTTCCTTCACCAGAGAAGGCATGTGGATACTGCTTACTACTTACATGGTCTTTTTCTCACTTACTCACACCCATCAATAGTGGAAAAGCTTTGGCCTTTGCAAGCAATAGGTCCCACTAGTACTCTCGGAGAACGTTTACACAGCTGAGTGGATTACAGTTAAAGACGTAGGGTGTAATAACTAAGATCAAATACTTTTACTCATAAAAATGGTCTCGCAGAACAGGCAAACTCAATGAGTAAATAAAACAATAAACAAAGATACTAAAAAGTCTTCTGAATTGGAACAATAGGCCTCTTTAACAGAATAATTGATGATTTAAGGATTTTGAACTATGCATCAGAATTATAGGAGCCTCAAAATCAAAGCTACCACTTGGATAAATAGAGATATTCACGCTTCATCCCCACTGCTCTCGATTACAATTGCTGCTTTTCTGGTTTTCAACTTCTTAGAAGTTTTAGGTGAGCTGTCATCTTGCGCGCCAACCCGAAAATCATCATCTATCTCGCTGTTGGTTTCGTTATTTTTTATTTCCTCTAGAATTCTCGACCCATATTTCTCGGTCTTCAACTTTCCAATAATCTTCTCCAACTGCAAGAGCGAAAAGAAACACAATATTTTGGAACTTGAGAGACATGAAATAAGTAGGTCTTCAACTGAAGTTTGAATTTGATTCATTGTTGTCATTTAAGAAGCTACCGGTAAAACTTTTTTATCAATGCGGAAGGGGGTTAAAATGTTTTCTCGCTGATTATGGAGGGGTTAATGTAAGATAAAATAAAATCTAAGGGGCCACTTCTTATAATTTCAAAAGTGCATTTTTGGTAATTAAGTAGGTCAGACCTCTATCCCAAAAGTTAAGGGTGGACAATTTCGGGCAGAGAGCCTAGTTGGTGTGGGTAGATTCTATATCTTGCAGCTTCCAAAATGTTTTTACATGACTTAATCATATTGACTCGGATAGGATGTTTCTAAACCATCATTAGTGAATTGTTACCAACAGTCAAGTGGCAAAAGATTAATGGATACCTCTTCAATTGACTTTGGCTTTTCCGCACCCAACATGCTAATTTGCTGGGTGGACAACACCGAGTGAGGAAATACTCCTCCATCATGTGAAGCAAGTTCCTTTCGTAGCTCGTCAAGTTTATGTTCCAAAGCACTAGATTGCCCACGCTTGCGAGTTTTCAAATTGGCTGGACTACTCTTCTGTCCAATTTGAAGAACTTCAAGCTTAATCGTCTTCTTTCCTACAAGGAAAGTAACAACGGTTGAAATTACTGATGAAAATTTATACGGTAAAGATCATTGTTGACTTCATTTATCACTCCTAATACTCAAGGATACCTAATAAGAAAATAGAAATGCATAGTAAAATATCTTGTGGGTGTGTTTCCACGCAACAAGATCATAGTAAGCAATAAGCTAAGCCCAAAACACATTAACTTTTACGTGGAATGGACGGCAGAAAGAATCGCAAATTACAGTAAGGATACTGCAAACACAAATTAACAAAGTTTAACTCTATTCACAAAGACAACACCACATAGACCAGACATATTAGTAACAAATTCTGGGTAGGAAACACTATGAACAATTCAATAACAAATCAAATTTAGCAAAGAAAAAGGAATTAATTTTATCCTGTTGCATACATGAATTCCACAATAATAATAATAATAATAAAAAAAAAATCATACAGCAGCCAAAGAAACTCGCACAGGAATGAAGACTACGGCATTCTTACCATGTAATACTTGCTTGGACAAAGGTCCTACGGTGACATAAGCATTCGTGGCATATGCAGTATGCTGAAATTCTTCTTTCTGCATAACATGAGAAAGGCATCAAATAGAGAAAGATGGACCTTTTTATACAAAACATCAGCAGTAACTGAAAAATTTTCTGCAGCATATTGTTCCTTCTGTGACTGCTATAGATCTATTTGGATATCAGGACCAGATAATTTCCACTGGCTCACTCAGTTTCTTTCATAGGCTTTCAATGTTATTTAAGTGCATTTATTTCAATGTGGTAAAGAAGTCAAGCATAAATACGTTCGAAAACCACCATGTCCTGTTTTTACATGGAGATATAAGATGATGAGATAAATAGTTTGACTATCAGTCATATAATGGATAAATATATATATTAATATTAAGAAAGACACTCCTAGTACAACACGGGCTAGGAAATTCGATGAAAGAAAAGAACATGAGCTTGGATCTCAAAATCTTACCAAAACACGGTCCACCAGAAGCTGCACCACGAGCTGTTCCCATTCCTCCTTTTTTAGCTCGGGATCTGAATAAATACCAAGAAATACGATATTATGCATGGAATTATGGAACTGCCTTATACATGATGCAAGAGTGAACAGCTGGCCACACTTAACCAATATATGTGGAGACGCTATATATAATTATATATCACAGGGTTAGGTTTCAGTGAGAACGACTTCTGATGTGAGCACTACGCACCATGTTAAACTATGTTATATGTGGTACTATTAATTTGTGTTATAGATGGAGTTATGTTCGACCATATAAAACGTTGAGTGCAGGAATAATAGCATCACAATGCCGGAATTCTTATTCTGCCATCACTATGCTAAATAGCACCGTAAATGACTAAAAATATCATCGACATGGCACTTTTGAGCATAGTGTCTCTCAGACTGGGTTTTTATCAGATCCATTTCCTACATGCACATACAGATTTAGATTGCGAAACAGATAGCAATTGAAATTTAGATCTTCCTATGTGATATAACAGAGAACTTACAATATGTTATATTTTTCAAAAAAACCACAATGAGTCTTCAGAAAAGAAGGAAAAGTAACATGGGCACTATAACATGTAATTAACACAAACTCCTAGTAGTGTTGTTTCTTTTTTTTGTTATTGTTTCAGTTCTTTTTCTCCCTCTCCTGTTTTCTTTGAAGAAATAAAACTTTCTCAACCAAACAAGTGTGCAATACTGCAAGCTGGAACACGGGGAAACCACTGAAATGAATGAGACAGATTCATATGCAATTCAGAATGGTCTATTAGCAAATCCTTTTGTAGTTGTGGGGCATATTCCTGATACCATTCAAAAGTCAAAAATCAAAAGCTATCATAAAAAGAACTCACCCAGGTTCTTGTATTTTATCTTCAACTTGTCAACTAACTGCAACATCGTCGCCCTCTGGTCATTCGCTTGCACTTTTTGCAAAAATGATACTATAGCTTTCGCGTGGCCTGCAGTTTATTTCAACATCAGAACTTATTCCAAATATGCAGTAACTGCATGCCTAAGAAAGTTCTCTGATCACAAGAACTTTCTGGGTCCAAATCCAACTGACATACCAGATACGTCCAATTCCTTGATTTCATTACAAGAAGCACAGTTATCACACATCCCTGAGAGATAAGTATAGAAGAAGCTTAGTTGATATTATGCATGCAATAGTAATCGAGCATAACGATCATCACTAGTTGCATGTCACATCAAGTTTTACCACTACAATCTTTTACAGGCTCGGCAAAATGTCTGAAGAAAGCACCCCGGCGACATTGTCGTTTTGACTACATAAAACAGAGGGAAACCAAATCAACAACCAGTAGAGAATTTTATATGTTTATTGGATAAAAATAAAAAATAAAAAATAATAGGATGCAGAACGATCTATATATTTTAAAATCTTAATTATGACAGAGGGCCATAAAGTAGGATGAACGGACATTTTGGCCAGACCGCAAAGAAGTCAGATATTGTAGTACAAAATCAGACATTCACATCCCAGAACTCGCTGGCATGCATTTGTTTACACTATACGACACCTTTATTAATTTACTCTTCCTGCCTTTTTAGGTTTCCTTTTCATTTCATTTCTGTTCCAAAGTAAGCATTTCATTTTTCTAATATAACAATGTCGTAAACATTCATACGGGGCTTTGCAAAGGGCCAGGATAACCTATTGGCTACTAACAAGCGAAAAAAAAGAAAGGAGCAACACGTTTGTTCTAAACAAATAATCCTACCAAACAATAGCGCACGATGTCATAAAGATTTTGTAAACCGGAATTTTCATAGAAGACCATTGAGCTCTGCAAAAAACAAAAATATTTAGAAATCAGAATCCTGATATGAAATAACTGGAAAAAAAAAAAAAAAAAAAAATTAACACTCACCAACCAATTACCTGTCTAGGAACATCAGCTGGTCTAAAGTACAGCAAGCACTCAGAAGGAAGCCCATCTCGACCAGCTCGACCACTCTCCTGTTATAAGAGCATTACAGGACGGAACACAATGAAGGCAAAAACTAAATTTACTCGAACACAAACCTGATAATATGTCTCCATTGATTTGCTTAAGCTGTGATGAACAACGAACCTGACTACAACCAACATCAATATCGCGAATGCATAAATAAATCAAACCAAATAAACACAGTTGCAATGCTGCATTTGTGCTTCAAGATAGCAATTTCTCTCTTATAAATGGTTAGCAGTTAGAATTTTTACCGCTCTTATACCATTTCAAATAGGACTAAAAATATAGAACTAAAAATATAGCCTCACAAGCCATAAGCTTACAGGAATTATGTTAGTTTATTTAATTCAGAAAATGCATGTGAGTCACCAAACCTTAGTGGGAAAACGAAGAAAACAAGAGTGACTAACCATCTGGCTTATTAATTCCCATTCCAAATGCCACCTGCAAGACAGAAATTTGCCTGTTATACTTTGACATTGTGTTATTAAACTTTAAGAATTTTCAGTACAT